CACCACGACTTCACTGATATTTTTAAAATTTGACATAGGCTTAAAAAATTATGCGGTTAGAAGCAAAGGCAGCTGAAACAAATGTTTGTTTAAACAAGCAAAGAAAAAGCACATTTCAATCCCCAGAATGATCAATTTGTGATTGCCCATTTTTTTAAATATATTTTCAATAAATCATTTTTCAAGCGTAAGCGTGAGTAATTTTCGAGCCTTTTTTTAATCGCGGAAGCGATTAATCAGTTTTTAATCATCAGAAGTGATCGAAGAAGACTCATAAAGGTGATTTTTATTAAAGTAATCTTCCAAATGCTATGTGGGTTATTACTCAAAATGATATTTATTTCTGAGCATTGCTAGAAATTTAAAAATTTATTTTTTACTTTGCTATTGTACTGCTCCCTACTTGCTCCTTTGGGGAGCAGCTAACTTTCGGTCCCGTTGGGATAATCTCTTCGACATAATAATTTTTTTTTAAATTTCCTTTTTTACATCCATTTTAAAAAATATACTGATTGCTGAAACTTATTTGTTTACTCTTTTCTTTTATTTGTTTTGACAGATTTTTTGTTTTTTGTTTTGATTTCTCAGCTGGTTCCGATAAATTTCCGATAAAAATTAGAGACTGCAGCGATTTGTTCGTAATTCGCATAGTAATTGGATCTGAATTACCAACAAATGAGGTAATTCGCTCTCAAAATTTTGTATGGCGAATTACGTAATTCGAAGGGTAATTGGAGTGCGAACTACGAATGAGAGAGCGAACTACGTAATTGGGGTGCCGTGGGAAAGCCGTATAATTCTTATGTATTTCTTTGAATTTTCGTCTTTATCTTCACTTTTGCCTTTTTTTTGTCTTCATCGTTATCACTTGTTTCTTCATCTTCATATTTATCTTTATTTCAAAGTTTAATTTCAAATACGAAGTAAAACAAAATGTGAAAGAGCTTAAATTGAACAGGTTGCAAAAACAACCATACACAAATATGGAAATTTTTAAACGACGATTTTCGACCAGTTTCGAAACTATAAAAACTCTCCTCATCTACAGAAAACTACCTTTCCAACGGTGTTTTTGGTTTTGAAATCGGTAACTTTACCTTGGTCTTCATCTTTGTTTTTATCTTTCATATCTTTGCTTATATCCTTTTCTTTTTCTATTCACGTAGATGAGATGAGGTGCGATTACGTGATAAGATGTGACGTGATTTTATGTGATGTGATAGGATGTCATGTCATGTGTTGTCATATCCTCTGATGTCATGTCATATGATGTCATACCATATGATGTCATATCATGTGATGCCACGTCATGTAATGCCATGTCATGTCATACGATGTCATATCATGTGATGGGAAGTCATGTGATGTCATGCCTTATAATGTGATGTCATATCATATAATGTCATGTCACGTGATATCGGGTGATGTGATATCATATTATGTGATGTAATATCATGTGATGTCTCTTCATATTATGTGATAGAATGTGATGTGATGTCATGTAATGTGATCACATTCCATGTTCCGATTAGTATATCGATAACCCTGTTGATAACTGTGTCGATAAAAATACCGATAACAATATCCATAAACATATAGAAAAATACAACGATTGTAAAATCGATTAATTCATCGATAAATATAACAATCATCAGTATCGATTATTGTACATATCGTTAACAATATAAATGAATAAATCGATAACAAAATCAATTATTTAATCGATTATTATACCGATAACAATATCCATTATTGTATCGATAACAATATCGATTATTATATTGATTATTATATCGATAAAAATATCGAGTTTTATATCGATAACAATATCGATCTTCATCCTCATCCTTTTCTTCATATTTGTCTTTATTTTTGCATATTCCTCTTCACCTTTACCTTAAAGTGTTTAAATTTACTCTGATCTTCGTTTTTGCCTGTACCTCTAGGCATCTTTGTTTTTGTTTTTATTCTCAAACCGCTAAACCGCTGAGAACCATTTCCATGTGCATTATTCCCCTTGAATTTGACAATTTACTCCCAACCAACCAACTGCCGCTAAAGAAGTTTCACTTCATAAATTCAAGAAATGTTCTTACCTTTTCAGTTACCCTAATTCTTATGTATCTGTCATTGTCTCCATTTTCGTCTTTATCTTCACTTTTGCCTTCTTTTTTTTTTGACTTCATCGTTATCATTTATTTCTTCATCCTCATATTTATCTTTATTTCAAAGCTTAATTTCAAATGTGAAGTGAAACAACATGCGAAACATGTCAAATTGAACATGTTGCAGCAACATCTATACACAAATACGAAAATGTTTAAACGACGGTTTTGGCCGTAATTGTCAACCAATTGTGAAAAATTTATGTTAGCGTATTAATATATAGATGTACATTAGAGTGCTCAAAAACAGTAAAGTTGGAATTTTAATGCCGCCACCCCTAGGATGCTTCTATACCGAAAAAAACATCCCCCTGTTTTTTTTTATTTTGATATCAAAAAATATTTAGGGAGTGCTCAAAGCGCTCAAAGTTTGCCACGTATTTTATATGGGGGAAAAACAACTTTTCTTAGAAATGGTATAACATTCTTGAAAATCAATATGAAAACTATGATACTACTCTTCAGAAGACTTCCAATATTAATATCCAATTGTTTAGTTAACCAATTATTAGTACGAAATATTTTTGAATGGTCGCTCCATTGCATTTTCTGGGGGTTTTGGCGGACTTATAAAATATAGTATTGGGAATTTTCTGAAGAGAAATATATCGAAAAATATTGATTTTCAAGAATTTTATTTGACCACTCCCTAAATTTTGTTATAAAAAAAATAGGGGTATATTTTTTTCTGTATAGAACAATCCTTGGGGGTGGCGGCATCAAAATTTCGACTTTACTTCTTCACATGCATTTTTGGACCACTCTAATGTACATGTATGTAGGTATATATAAGGCATAACAAGGTAGAAGTGATTTCGGCATTTCTCTCTTTTGAACTGCGACTGAAATGTCAACTCTTAACCCTATAGTATTCAAAATTTTTTTTTTAATATACATTTTCAATTGTAAGCTGTGCGACTGATTTTAAATACATAATAAAATGAAAAGGAATTGCGAGCGGTGCGTTGTGTTAGTCAAGAGCCTGGACATTCGGATTGTCAAGTGAAGCGGCAACGGTGGGCAAATTGCTGCGATGTTTCATTAGGAGACTCTTCACGTGTGGTCGTGACTTTATTTGTTGCCCATCGCAGCCGAGTATTTCTAAGTGGACGCGTTTGGTCCCAGGTGCAGGATTTATTATACCGAATATGAAAAGAAAATCTCCCTTTCATATACATAAATGGATAGGCCAAATTTCAAATGGTGGTCTGATAAAACCTAAACCAGTATTCCTTGTTGGCATAAAGAAACTGAAAGTAATTTTTAATAAATTTAATGGAAAGGAAATTTCGAATAGCAAAAATTTAATAGCTAAATTATTGAAGTTAAGTGCTGATGTAAATTTAGAAGAATCAAACATTTTTAATGACTAATATACTTATTATTATTATTATACTATTAAGTATTTCAATAAAAAAATAAATGCTCAAAAACATTGGGATAGTAAAAGCAAGAAAATTGTCAAAATGGTTTTATAAATGAGTGTGTTTCATTTAGTGTGTAATTTTGTGTAAGTATGCATTCCCATATTTACATTAAACCGAAAATTCAATAAATAAAATGAAGCTGATTCTAATGAGATTTTAAATATTTTCATATTTACAAAAACTTTAATTTCAAAGATGTTGAGTTCTATCAAATATGGTAAATGCATAACAAAGGGTTAATTTCTTTGTTTACATTTTTTGACATTACAGTCAGGTTTGAGAGAGCTCGACTGAATTGTCACTTCTACCTTGTTGAATATGCCTTGGGTTTATACATTAATCTCTATACCCCTGGCAACAAATGTCATTGTCGAATTCTTATTTGAAGCAGATTAGCTACCTGTCTGCGCTTACATGGCTGCTCATTACGGTTCTCTAGTGCCCGATAGACATCCACATGTGATATGTTGCCAAAAACGCACTCAATATCGAGGAAAGAGCAGAGCACTATTTCTCCGTACTCAACGCTATCTCCCATCTCCGTCTAGTCCGTGAACCTTCTTACTCTAAACGGATGATGGCTGGGATGCAAAGGGGCCTCCTGCTTCAGGGTATTTCATCTTATATTGTTGCTTTTAGCAAGAAATAGGTTAGATTTATTAGCCTGAATGACTTTCCATACCACAATTATATTAAACGGAGACAGTCGGTCTCTCAGCGCTTTTAATAGGTGTGTCAGTAACAGCCCTCACCCGGCCATTGAACTGCATTGATGGGCTGTTGCCAATTACTCTTGGGTTTTTGTAGCTATCGAACGAGTCTAACGCCCAATCGGCTCATCGCCAGGTTAATAGACTTTTTATCAGCTTCTAGTCTCATGAAGAAGGTCTGTACTCTCGGAACTCAGTCGACTGTTCCAGAAAGCGGGCAGATAGCAGGGTGACTGCCCTCTCCTCTTCGTAAACTGTACGATAATAGGCAGATACCTTTCGGTGTCCTAATCGCTTGTCTGCTTCTTGCAGTTCCTTTAGCTAAGGTTGTGAAGTATTTCAGCTGTAGGCGTAGGTGGGCGAAATACCCTCGCAGTAGGTTCCGAAGCTGCTAATCTTTGCTTTTCCAAGCGCCTTAATGTACTTTGCAAGCTGAGTGCTCATCCCGGAATTCTGTGCATTTGGCATTGTTGGAGAGCTTGAGCACTAATTTCTGAGGCGATCTAAGCGCTGAGAGTTGCCGAGGCCACCAAGCAGTTTTACTATACTTTCGTTCTCTATACATCTTCCTGCCACTTCATTATGTACAATTAAAACACCTCCTCCGTAGTTGGTTTCCTTAATCTCGGCCTAGCCAAATACACAAACCTTCAGCTCAAAGTTCCAGCTGGGGTTTTGGGCATTCTTTTCTAGGTTTGTATGTATTGATGTATGTAGGAAAATAAACATGCGAAAAACTATCAATAAAAATAGAATCAACAATGTTTTAACAGAAAAAGTGAAAGTGAGACGAGTTCAAATTACTCCGTCCGTCCAACTGTGTAGTTGGGAGATGGAGTGCTTTAAGTAAGCTAGAAAAAATTGTAGTGGTTTTTGTATGTGTAAGGCAAACAAGTTGTCAACAACATATTTAAGCACGATTAAGTACATATAAAAAAGGATTTAGATGCATATATGTAATACTTCTATATTGGTAGTAAGCTAACATCTCAATGTGTAAGCATTCCGAAATCAAAGCGAGACAGTCTAGTACTGTTTTTGTGAATGTATTGTGAACTTGAGTGAAGTTTTTGTAAATGTGTCGTGTACATGTTTATTTATAAACGTATGTGTTCCTTTTCTTTCGTACGTGCTTATATATATATCTGTACTGTAGTGTTTTCGGACGGTACTAGCTCTTACTGCCAATATAGGAGTATTACATATATGTTTAGATGTCGCATTATCCCACTAGAACCTGAAGGGAGATCTCCCTATGTGAGGAATAAAAGAGTACTCCCCTTAACCTGATTTCTGAGCAATAAGGGAGATTTGTCGGTTTTGTACTCCTGTATTGCTCGCTTAGGGGCGTAATGAGAGATATCCTAAGCGAGCAATTAAAGAATGCTTCCTGATGCATGATTTGGGAGCAATAAGCGAGATTTGTCGGTTTTGTACTCCGTTATTACTCGTTTAGGATTAAAAGGTGATGTCTTCTAAGCGAGAAATCCAAGAGTCTTCTTTTTGATTGATAGGAGAGCAATACGCACCTCGTTCAAAAGAAATTTTGTGTTTTCGAAAAAATTTATCATAGAAAAAAAAAAAACAACAGAAAATATTTCTTATAGGCGCATAAGGAGGACACAATAATCTAATTTGGATAGCACACAGATTTTAATAAAAGTCCGTTGGTATGTACCTCAACTTTTGTTTAAATATTTTAAGCATTGTATTACTTACAAATATACCGTTAAATACCTTTCAGATTGCGCAAATTAGTGTTTGCATTTAAGTGTGACCCCCGGGTTTAAACATCGCATGGGTGACAAAGATGTCAGATAAGAAAAGTCACTTTCACAATTTCCCCGCTTGGTGGATTCCTGACCAGGCAAGCATCCTTGACAACCAGGAAATCATATACGAGTACATACTTATATGTGCATATCTTATATTACCGTTTTGTTATTATTACGTTTTACTTTCATATGATTTCTCTGCAATATAATTCTAAAATTAAGCAATTATGTAAGACGTATCATTTATGTTTTATCTGATCTCGTACTTATATCTGTTAAGGTCTTGTAAAATTAGCACAAATGCACGTGATTTAAAAGTTAAATAAAAAATTTAATAAATAGCAAAATCTATTTGGCTAATTTAAAATGTTCGTTATCATTTCTCTCTTATTACCCCTATAGGAGGCTTTCGGGATGCCTCTAATGGGAGCACTCTCTTATTGCTCGTTCGGGAGGTATATGGGATGTTTTCTATGTGCACTCCCTTGTTGTCTTTTTGGGAGGTTTCTGGGAGGTAACTATGGGAGTACTCCCGTATTGCTCCATTAGAAGGTTTGTGGGATGATAATTCTGTGTGTGCTCCCCGATTGCTCGTTTAGGAGGTAAAAGGGATTACTCCCCCTTCTAGGACATCCAATGTTAAAGGGAGTATACAAAATTACATGCTTATACACAGAAGCATAGGGAGCAATGGGGAGTATTCGTATACTCCCAAGGGAGTACTCACCGAGCAATCGTACGATGCTCCCAAGTTCTACTGGGATGATATATGTAAATTAAATGTATACTCACACACCCACACAAGTACGCATGCAAGGAGCTTTTACTTAGCTGTAAACATATTGTCTGTCATCCTTTAGACGATTCCAATTGTAACCATCAGAATAAACAGTTTTGTATGCGTATTTAGTAGAAAAGCAAAGATAATTTGTTGAACTGGCGCTGCACAGTGGTCAATAAATGGGATTTAATGTTCATAATTCACTGGAGCCTTCATTTCTCAACCGATTTGATGAATTAGTTTTTTTAAATGAAAGCTAATAAAATTTGCAAGAGACTAGTTGAGCTCAATTTTCGAATTTTTATTTGTTTGTATTCAATTTTTTAGTGCAAAGTGCAGAAATTGCGCCAATTTTGAAGAAGACCGATTCTCCTGTTCCAGCTAATAAAAGTTTCAGAATAAAAACTAGTTAAAAACAATTGTAGGGTTCTCCTAAAACAAAAAATAAATTAAATGGTAATAATTTGAAATGTTATAAAAAAAATGTTATCAAAAGAATTTTTGTTTGTTTGTAGGTTTAATAAAAATTTTCGGTATGCAGTTTTATAGATTACTAAATTTTAGTATAATAAAGTGCAAGTTGTAAGTCGCTAAGAGTTCGCGTTGATTTTTAATAATATAACAAACGCTTTTATTTCCCATTTAGCATGCAGATGTGCTCGAAACGCGAACTCTTAGCGACTTGCAACTTGCACTTTATAATACTAAAATTTAGTAATATATATGCAGAATTCGACTGATCTGGCCACCACTTAAATGCTCGCGGTAAGAAACTGGTGTCGCTGAAGAGCGGCTGCCGTCCAGTGCTCTTATACTCTCCCAATTTTATATACATATGTTTGTACCTATTTTGTCAACCCCTGTACTTGTACGTAACCATATACATAAATAAATTGTATGTAAGCACAGTTAGCCGTTACCAGCATTCACTTTGCTTTGCTATATATATACATATGTGTCCAACTTTGTAAAATAAAATAGAAGTGTTTCTAATCGTGTTGAGAAATAACGTGTTTTATTAAGCTTTGTTCAGAACATTTTGGTGCCTCCTGTGAGGACAAATTGCATTAAATTTAAAGTTATTAAGTTTTCGGTAATGGCGGAATTAAGGTTGCGTGCCCCGGCTATAAAAGCAATTAAACGCATATATGAACGAGTGCAAGCGAGTAAACTTGGCTCCTATGACGAATTCCAATTAGAGCAAGAATTGAAATTGGTTTCAAGCCACTTTGCGCGATTCGTGGCTAACCATGAGCTATTGGTGGCCAGTGCGGAAAAGGGCGAGGTTGAGGCTCATGAAACGCTCTGGGTAGAAGTGGAAGATATATACAACGACACTTGTTGCATTCTCAACCGCGCGATTACAGGTGCGAAGCCAAACGTACAAGCCGGAAGGCAGCATTCGCATGAATGTGAGTTTAGGTTGGAGCCACTCGCCATTCCAACGTTCGATGGCACGATGCAAACCTGGTTAGCGTTTAAGGACGCATTTGAATTACTCGTGCACAACACCGAGTATCCTGAGGCCTACAAATTGGGGAAGTTGCGACAGGCAGTTAGCTCACATGCAGTGCCACTCGTGGGAAGTGTATACTCGGGCGGCTATGGCGAAGTATGGAGTGCTCTGAAGGAACGCTTTGACAATAAGAAGCAGTTAGCCGAAACACATGTGTCCCGTCTTCTTAACATTAAGCCATCGTCAGAGGACTCATCAGAATCATTATTGGCCATCTTCGATACAGTGCAGGAGTCACTGCGTTCGTTACGGGTGATAGGGCTGCCAGTCGTAGAGTGGGATGCTATTCTTGTTCCCATAATAGTTTCTAAGCTTCCAACTGTGACTCAGCGTGAATGGAACATGAGTTGTTTGCCTACCGAAATTCCGAAGTTAGATGAGCTACTGTCATTTTTGAGCCAACGCGCCCACAGCCTCTCCACAGCCATTGTCACGTGGTCCAGCAGGACCGACGCTACATCTCGAGGGCAACAGCGCACTAGTTCACAACGTACTGTAAAATCCCACGTCGCAGCTGCAGAAGACGGAAAATGCGCATACTGTCAAGGACCGCATCGCACTACAAAGTGCACCCGTTTTCTTGCAATGAACCACGAAGAACGTGTAAATGCCCTTAAAGCCGCTAGGCTTTGTTTCAATTGCCTAAAATTGGGACATTCAGCTAAGCAGTGCCCTTCGGGTCTTTGCCGACATTGCAATCGGAAGCACAACTCATTGCTTTGTCGGGAAACTTTATCTACGAACGCAGGAGGGCTGACCGCGACAACCACTCAACCGGTTCCCATGAACAAGGATCACCCATCTGACTAGAAGCTTCGGCGGTCACCTGCCATACCAATGCGCATCACACAGTTTTATTAGCGACAGCACGCGTTTATGCATACGGTGACCCAACGACTCGACGCATGGCGCGCGTGCTCTGTGACCCGGGATCGCAGGTCAGTTTTGTTACAGATAAGTTAGCTAATTCTTTACCTCTTCGTAGACGTAAATGTGATATCCCTGTCCAAGGAATTTGTTCCCATTCTTCCGCTCGCGCTCGTGGTAGCGTCTCGCTCACACTAGAATCTGCCCATACAAGTTTTACGCTGAAGATAACTGCGCTTGTCATTCCGTCAATTACTACGGTCATCCCCGCAACGTATATTGACATGACACAGTGGAAGCACTTGTCCAGCATACAATTAGCGGATGCACAATTCGGCGTTCCCGGTAATATCGACGTGCTAATTGGTGCTGACGTATGGGGTCAAGTTGTCGAAACTGACTTCAAATTTGGCGGTCCTTGTGAGCCGCACGCTCAACGCACTGCTTTCGGGTGGGTCATATTTGGCCCAGTTTCTGCAGCACAACCTTCAACGTTGCCAACTCTCGCATTAAGTACGCAGCTATGCGACGAGGACATACACTTGGAGGAACTGCTCCGAAGTTTTTGGAAGTTAGAGGAAGTGCCCTCCCTAGAATATGATGGAGATGCCGAATGCGAACCAATTTTTGGTAACACCCACTCTCGCACACCTGACGGACGCTACGTTGTATGCATACCATTTCGTCCTGATTCGCCGGCTTTGGGAGATTCTTATACTCATGCATTACGACAGTTTTACCTTCTTGAGAGGCGACTGGCAGCAAATAGTGAACTCCGGGAGAAATACATTGCTTTTATGCGCGAATATGCAGACCTAGGCCATATGGAGCGCGCATACTCAATGAACGATAATGAAACGGGCTTTTATATCCCGCATCATGCAGTTTTGGGGAAGTACCGGCGTCTCCCTGAACGAAGTTCAGCTGGTAGGAACGACAATACAAGATCCGCTACTTAACATAATATTTCGCTTTCGCCGCTTTCGCATCGCATTGTCTGCCGATGTTGAGAAGATGTTTCGACAGGTACTTGTTAAACCCGAGCATAGAGATTTTCAGCGCATTATTTGGAGAGAGTCCCCAACCGATGACATCACTATATACCGCCTTACAACGGTGACTTATGGTATGGCTAGCAGTCCCTACAACGCGGTCCGCGCACTCAACCAATGCGCATACGACAACTACAAGCGGCACGCGATGCGATCAGCGTCGTCTTTTTATGTCGACGATTTTCTTACCAGCTGTGACACTGAAGAAAATGCAACTGAACTTGCATTCAACGTGACTTCCATATTGTCTGAAGCCCACTTCCATTTACGTAAATGGAATTCCAATAGTGGTGAAGTATTAGCACGCTTGATTGGCAACCGTTCTCCTAACGTAGAGATGACCATCGAATCACCAACAGCAACTGTACTTGGGCTTCGATGGGATGCAGCAGCAGATGAGCTATTTTTCAAGGTATATCTGAAAGAGAGCTTAGGCTTCCTAACGAAGCGACGGGTACTAAGTGCCGTCGTAAAATTATTCGACCCTACCGGCATACTGGCACCAGTTGTTATTACTGGAAAAATATTCATACAAAGGTTGTGGGCTGCTGGCTTGTCGTGGGACGAACCACTGCCAGATGTACTTCAAACCACCTGGGTAGCCTTTTACAGCGAACTCGACGTAATAAACAAAATCCGGATTCCGCGATGGTTAGGTATGGCTGAAGGAAGAGCTACTACCCTGCTAGGATTTTGCGATGCCAGTACGCTCGCGTATGCAGCTGTAATATATATTAGAGCCACAGATGCGGAAGGTCATTCAGCTGTATCACTGCTTACGGCTCGTACCAAGGTGGCGCCCCTTAAAGGAGCAACGATCCCGCGTCTGGAGCTTTGTGCCGCACATTTGTTACCCTCGAAAACGTACGTATTTCCTTGAGATTAACAGATACTCCTTATTACCTCTGGTCTGATTCTCGGATTGTGTTGCGTTGGCTACGCAAGCCGCCCACTTCTCTAAAGCCATTTGTGTCGAACCGGGTGCATCAAATACATGAGTTAACCTCACCAAACTGTTGGCATTATGTAAGATCAGCTCAGAATCCGGCAGATTGCGCCAGTAGAGGTATTCGGGCATCGCAGCTGCTGGATCATCCACTGTGGTGGCAGGGCCCAGGATGGATTATGGATAAGCATACACCCAACTTCTCTGTGATTGAATTAAACGACGAGGAGCACAATATTCTGCAAAGCGAACAAAGAGTTTCCTCCTTCGTAGCGACAACAACCCATCAGCCAGCTCTCACTACTCGTCGACGTGATGGCCAGATGATTCCGTTGAGTGAGCGCTTCAGTTCACTTCCGCCACTCGTGCGTACGGCAGCACTTCTTCTACGTTGGAATGCCGCCGTGTTGGAACGGCATTTGCGTACATTGGTAGTCAGCCTAACAGAAATCGACAACGCTCTTAATATACTGATTCGAAATGAGCAACACGAGAACTTTGCAGTTGATTTGGCCCAAATCCGAAAAGGAACTGGCGTATCTAGTTCCAGCAAGCTAAAGTCATTGAATCCATACATGGATGACACAGGCGTTCTGCGCGTCGGAGGCCGCATCAGTAAGGCTGATCTGCCAGAAGATAGGCGGTTCCCCATAATCTTACCTAAACACGGTAGACTAGGCGAGCTGATAATCAGACATGTACATGAAACAACGCTTCATGGTGGACCGCAACTGGTCCTCCAAACTCTACGCTCGCGTTATTGGATATTGAATGGTAGACAAGCCGTTCGAAGTTACGGACAGAAGTGTGTTATCTGCCGCCGACACCGTGGCGTGACTCTTTCGCAGCAAATGGCATCATTACCAAGACAACGTATCAGTACTTCACGGGCGTTTGTGTCTTCAGGGGTCGACTATTGCGGTCCGTTTACGGTGCGCGTTGGCGCCAAACGGTCACGCACCAAGGTAAAGACATATTTAGCCATTTTTGTTTGCATGGCAACCAAGGCGGTGCATATTGAGGTTGTCGATGACCTCTCTTCGCAAGCTTTCCTAGATGCATTTACGAGATTCGTCAGCCGGCGAGGCCCTTGTCGCGATCTTTTTAGCGATAACGGAACTTCGTTTATCGGAGCGAACCGCCTCCTTCTAGAAGACTTGGCAGCATGGCACAGTGAAGGTACTCAACAGTCCTTAGCTAATAAAGGGACCTGGTGGCACTTCATCGCCCCGGGCGCTCCTCACCAAGGTGGGCTATGGGAGGCCGCAGTGAAGTCTGCCAAATATTACTTAGTCCGCCTCGTTGGGACACAGGTACTATGGTACAACCAGCTTCAAACTTTGGCAGCCCGCATCGAGGCGTGTTTAAATTCCCGGCCGATCACACCGTTATATGCAAACTCGCAACAAATGGCAGAAACCTACAAGAGATGTGCGGATAGGTGACGTTGTTCTCTTACGAAACGAAAATCTTCCTCCTACCCATTGGCGTTTAGGACGCATAACTGAGATTCATCCGGGCAGCGATGGATTAACGCGCAATGTTACGCTTCGGACGGCGAGCGGCACCATGACCCGGGCAGTACAAAAACTATGTCGGCTTCTTGATAGCGAACATTTCGAGTCCACGGCCTCGACCGGGCAGGATGTGCAGAATTCGACTGATCTGGCCACCACTTAAATGCTCGCGGTAAGAAACTGGTGTCGCTGAAGAGCGGCTGCCGTCCAGTGCTCTTATACTCTCCCAATTTTATATACATATGTTTGTACCTATTTTGTCAACCCATGTACTTGTACGTAACCATATACATAAATATATTGTATGTAAGCACAGTTAGCCGTTACCAGCATTCACTTAGCTTTGCTTTGCTATATATATACATATGTGTCCAACTTTGTAAAATAAAATAGAAGTGTTTCTAATCGTGTTGAGAAATAATGTGTTTTATTAAGCTTTGTACAGAACAATATATAAAACTGCATACCCAAAATTTTTATAAAAACTAAAATCAAAAAAAATACTTTTGCTAAAATTTTTTTATAGCATTTCAAATTATTACTTTTTAATTTATTTTTTGTTTTAGGAGAACCCTATAATTGTTTTTAACTAGTTTTTATTATGAAACTTTTATTAGCTGGAACAGGAGAATCGGTCTTCTTCAAAATTGGTGCAATTTCTGCACTTTGCACTAAAAAATTTAATACAAACAAATAAAAATTCGAAAATTGAGCTCAACTAGTCTCTTGCAAATTTTATTGGCTTTTATTTAAAAAAATAATTAATCAAATCGGTTGAGAAATGAAGGCTCCAGTGAATTATGAACATTAAATTCCATTTATTGACCACTGTGCGCTGTGACGAAGCCAGACAGCGAACGCAGAAAGAAGGATAAGTGTATCGAATGAAACAATTCATTTATGTTTTAATTGTATTGAATTTATTTTACTGCGCAACTCAATGTCGCTTTGTAGGTTCTTTTACAATTGAATTCTTAGCCTAACGTACTGGGGTATTTATGGGAAATAATTGCTGCATAAGCATAAATAATATTATAAATAAATTGAAGCTTAAAGTTAGTTTGTTTGACGGTTTGGCATGTGTGCTGACAATGCGTGAGTTCTATATTCAAAATATTCAAACAACTGAAATATGAAACCCTTGTTGTTATGAATAAATTAAAGAATTATAAACGTTAAGCATGGTCGACTTTCAGTTACACTACACCTCCTTTTTTAAAAGAATGCTCATACAGAGTTTATCGTATGAACATTCCTATTTAGCAAGTAATTAAATATAATAACAGTTTATAAATTTATTTAAACTTAAAAAAAAATAGTTTTAATGATTATATATCTTAATTCTATTTTTATGTACAATTTGGGTTTTTTTCCCGTTTTCTTATCAGTTATAGTTACATTATTTTTAAAATCTATATTATTAATTTTAAATGGTCCTTTGTATTGTGGGTCCAATTTGTGCCCTGATTCGTTTTTTAGCAAAATTAAATCACCTATTTTAAAGTTATAATCTAAAACTTTTTTATCAAAATAAGATTTTTGTACTATCTTAGCTTGTTCTATCACATCCCTTGCTCTTTTATGAGATATTTCTAACCTAAATCTAATTTCCTTAGCGTAATTATCTAAATTATAAAGTGGGCTTATTTTGTCAACCTGATCAAATTGTTGAAACCCATTTGGAAGTTTTCCAAAAACTAACTCGTATGGACAATAGTCATGTACAGTTGATGGTGTTGTATTAAAGCAGTATGTAAAATACTTAAGCCACTCATCCCAATCACTTTTGTCTATCGATACATATGACCTTACATATTGGTTAAACGCTTTATGTGATTTCTCGACCGTCCCTAACGTCTGGTGGTGGTGGGCGGTTGATGTTAGTTTTTCTATATTTAAAAGTTTGCATATTTCTTCTAAAAGTGAATTTTTATATTCCGTGCCCATGTCCGATATGAACGTCTTCATAGGACCGTAGACGAGAATAAAATTATCAAAAATTGCCTTAGCTATAGTTTTTGCATTTTTATCTTTAGTTGGTATTGTCACTAAATATTTAGTCATGTCGCATATTATCGTGACTGCGTATGCATTTCCATTTTCTGACAATGGTAGCGGGCCGATTGTGTCAACGAATATTGTATCAAATGCCTTGTTTGGTGTTGGCGTCAAAGTCATTGGACTTTTTATATGTTTTGTGACTTTGGTTATTTGACACTTATGACAATTCTTAACATATTTCGTGATTGTTTTAGTCATGTGTTTCCAGTAATAGTATCTTTTTATTTTATTCAAGGTTCTTGAAATGCCACAAAGACCTCCTTCTGCCGGGTCATCATGATATCTTTTTAATATACTTTCAATTGTTTTTGCATCTTTATAATTTATTTGGGTCACCTCATTCAGTAGCGCTACTTTCATTTTAATTAATTTCTTATTGCCCATTTCTTTAAATTCATTTATAGAGACAAATTCGAAAATTTTCTCACTAGGTGCCACTTGTAATTTGTCAATTGAATGCTTATCGGCCACATCATCGAGCCTAGAGAAAAATTGACCTAAGTCAAATTTCCCTTTAACAAACAAATCATTGATTTGTATATATGTTTTAATAGATTTACCCCGTTTGATATAGCATGTCTTGGGTGTAATCTTTAATTTACAGTATTTTCTCACGTCAGTGTTATTAATAGGTACATATATACTGGGCTTATCATATGTATTAGATTGATGCGTTTTAATTGTGTTTTGATTAAGAGAACTTTGGTTTGTCATAGATCTTGTTTGCATTTTGTATAAAGTGTTATTTTTAACATTTATATCTTTTAAATCGTCAATTGTAATGCGTGATAATGCATCCGCAACATAGTTGTCTTTTCCCCTAAGGTACTCTACCACAAAGTCATATTCTTCAAGATCAAGTCTCATTCTAGTTAGTTTTGAGCTAGGGTTTTTCATTGAAAATAGGTAAGATAGTGGCCTATGATCTGATCTTACCAGAAAATTTGTTCTGTAAATGTATGGTTTAAAATATGTTATTGCCCATGCGTGTTTGCTTGCGTCAGTAGTTATACAAAATTGTTTGCTGAAATCTGGGTACTGTAACAATGTAGGACTTATCAATGCCTTTTTAAAGTGCTCGAAAGCATTATTACATTCTAGTGTCCACTGAAAAGGTACTCCTTTCTTTGACAATCTAGTGAGATGTCTTGGGTATTCAGAGAAATTTTTTATAAACCTCCTGTAGTAGTTACAGAATGCTACAAATCTTTTCGCACTATCTGCATCTGTAGGTATAGGATAATTTTTAATTACTGAAAATTTTTTGTCGTCGGGGAGTATGCCTTTGTCAGTGCAGTTTTTTTTTGGCCAAGTTTGTAGTATTTGTATTGGTATGTCCAGTTTTAAATTTTTCTAATTGTCTCCTATCATATAAGTTTTTTAAAAATTTTATGTAACTATAACCCTCCTTTTTTTTAATTAATTCTTATTTTAGTAAATTTTTAATTAACATTTATTTATTTTTATTGATAAAGTTTTGGCTTAATATTTAAAAAAAAAAAGTCATAAAAATTTTTTTTTTTTTTTTAAAAAGTAAGATTGAAAGTAACTTAAGAAATGTATTGTATATGTATATAAAAAAAAATATATTTTTGCCACGAGCGAAAATTCGCTTACTGGCCCTATGAGTGCGGATTGACGCACATCAGTTTTTGTTTGCTTTTGCGACTGCAGGGCTGGTCTGGGGCAAGCCAGTGATGAAAATGGTAACTTCCTCATTGCCAAAGTTGGGCTGTTTCTTGGCAGCGTCGACCATCTCATTCAAAGTGGTTTGTTCGGGTTGACCATTGGGTTTCATCAAGAGAACTGGCACATTACTGGGACTTGGCACAAACGATGGTTCCAACGCGTGGTTAATTTGTGAGAGGTGATAAATTTTCTCAATTTCCCGTTCGCCTTCCTCCACTGACATGTTCTCCAACTGCTGCATAGTGAAATCCTCAGCTGACTGCATCGACTGGAGTTCAGACACCGATAACCAATCAGTGGGCTTTAAACTACTCGAGACGGCATTATCCTTGTTCTTGCCATGCTTGGGTGCAGCACTAGCGGCTGCGACAAGTAAAGCCACGAAGCAGAAAATCTTGAGCGGATTCATGTTGATCACGTTTGCAAGTCAGCGCGAAATGTGCTTTTTAGTGCATAATTTTTAAGCACAAAATTTTAAAAATGTTGCAATTTAAGCAAACCAGGATTCAGGCTGATCTGTGCAGCAAAGCACTAGACTGCCACTGTGCAATTCAATCTAAGCACCGGTTGGCAGGATAGCTTTTTTGCAAATTAATTTTCGCAAAAAGCTGGTAGGATCGCCATGTATCGAATGAAACAATTCATTTATGTTTTAATTGTATTGAATTTA